TGTGTGGGGCTGTTTCATCCCACGAGTGCGAGTTGACATCGCTTGAGTGAAAATCGTGCAGCTCGGGATTATAACGAGTTATTTTCACTTACCATCGTGCCCTGTAAGCGACTAGTAATGTCTTGGAGCGGCGGTGAGTTTAAAAAACCTTATTAAGGACACCGGCTCTTAATGTGTGTGGCTGCTGTGAACTCATCCGAGCTTACAGACTGGCTAAAAAACAGACACTTTGATTATTAATGATGATTTATTTCAACTTTCGTGTCACTTTTACACACACCCTCCGGAGACCGTCATTTTGAGAAACTTCTCTCTCATGAGCTCTGCGATTGTTTGCCCAGAGCGCTGTCTTGCAGGCGAACTCTGAGGAAACGCTGAGCTGCAGGTTGCCGGAGTGAAGAGGCTGGATTCTGACGGGCGGGGCTGGTGGTGGAACTCGGCGAGAGCCGCGGCCGAGGAAAAGTCGAAGCTTGCTCGCGACGGTCCCTCCAGCGTGCCGGGATGGGCCGTGCGGCTTGATGAGGTGGCGCACAGCCTCTGGCACCTCCTCCGACTGTTTCAATTCGCCAGCATGGTTTGAAGCTGCTCTGAACAGCGCGTCCGCGATGGGCTTCATCAGGCCTTGTGCAGATTCTCCGGCAGCGAGGGGAGTAACGAAGCCAGGTGGATCGTTGGATCATCGTCATCCACGCTGCAGTCCTCGACAGGCAAACCGTAGGAGAGGCACATATGTTGAGCTTGCGTCAGCTGCCTTACAGAGGGAGTTCTTTGTCTCCAAGGCAGGTCTGCGGCCTTCAGTCCCTTGGACATGCTATATGCTAGCAGCGCACGTTGTTGCTAACTGCGGCTGCCTGAAAACACATCGGTGGGCTCGATTTGAGAGCGTGGTCGCCGTCTGGTTCGTGTTCCTCCGGAGGGACGGGACGCTGCTCCGACCTGGGCAGCTTCGCTCCGGAAGCTTCCGCGAGGCTTGGCTCCAGGGGGGTTACCGAGGAATAGCCCCGCTCGGTGAATCCCTCAACTCTGGTGATGGCAGCGGACTGGGGACCGACTCCTCCAATCTACCAGGAAAGAACCGTCTGCGGCCTCGCCCGTCGAACGTCCTGTTGGAACGCGAGGCCGTATGGATCAAGACGGTGAGCCATAGTGGAGCCCAGTGAAAAACAACCTTCCCGCCGATCATCCGAACTGGCGGGAAAAGGCGAGGGACGTAGAAAAAAAAGGGGTCCCTTCATGTCAGCCTCCTCCTGGGTTCCGCCGGGCAACCGTGAGGGCGCTGTCGGCCGGGAGCGGTGTGATCGCCGATGCGAAACGAGGTGGGATGGGGTGAGCATTCACTCAGCCCCCCTCCACCTACACTACGCTCCCCAGGAGGGAATGAGCAGCGGGGGCTGCAGCTGAGCACGCCTTGCCCCGGAGGAACCATCCGGTTTGCCCCGAGGGTCGGCGATAAGAGGAAAAAATACAAGATGGCGTTGTCCAGCGTGTGGTGACCTGTCACTGGGAAATGTTCCCCGACGCTTACCTTGGAATAAGACTGCTCGTCATCTTCTCCTCGGGGAGGAGAACTCACCGGACGACCGGAGGTCGACTGCCGGGCCAAGCATCCTTCACAAAGGTTGGTCATTTACACAATTTATCCTCTTTGTTCTTCTGACAGTGCTATATTAGCTCGCTGAAGAAAAAATGGGAGCCGATTTCCCGCTCTTAACGTAATTTATACGGACAGGGTGGGGCCCACACAGCAGGTGGGCGTGGACTAAATTTTTTCAGTGCTTATGCTCTGCATAACGGGATAAACCCATCAGCGACAGCCTTAAAGGGCGAAGCCTATATGACATAGAACTGGGTTTTAACTTAAACTCCTACAAACTCCTTGTATGTTGCGTGTGGTAAATGGTTCACGTCACAGTTTTTTTGCCTTAATGTTACATCTGTCAGAGTCACGGAGGAGCAAGAAATGACTTTTGGTTAAACCTTAGAAATAATGCCAATAACGACATCAGTTGGTTGAAATTATTACCACGCAATGATCCAACTTAACTCATGCACCTAAACTCACTTTTTAAAATCACAACAAATCTGCTGGGCAAACTTAGAGAAAAGATCACAGTTTGAACTGCTTGTAGGAGACATTTGATTACAGCTTCATTAATTCAGCAGAGTGCGCTCCAGTTTTGAGCATTGTATTTGATTAGCGCTCCTATTTGAATATTTTTGTCTTACGGTTAAATGAATGCACGTGGCTCTGAGCAAACTAACAGCAACCAGTCGACCATGTTAAAGCAACTTGCTCAGCATCACTAAAATACTGTCTGCATAGAAATACACCACGTTAAACCCAAAGGAACAGCTAAAAATATGCTATATTTTATTGCAGCTTATCTAGTACACTGTGCACTATTTTTAAATTTTATAATTAAAAGTACATATACATGTACAGCATCTGCATGCTTCAAGTGTTGTGTGTGCTGATTTAAATATGTAGTAAATGTGTATTTACTGTAGGTTGTCTGCCTTCGTGGCCTGAAACATCAGCATCTCAAGGAGTTTTGAAGATACCTGAGCCTTGGGCAAGATGCAACTTTGAGATAAAGTTCCTGTCAAAACGAGTGGCAGGTGATCTGATCAACTGAGGTTTGGGAAGAGGACGTCAATAATGTATTGCCTGCCTGAAGCCCAGATGATGAAAGGTGACTCTTGAGAGAATACAGTTTTTTTTTTACTTTACTAAAACTTAAAAAAAAAAAGAAAATTTGTAATGTGCTACTTATGTGAGATGGCAGTATGGAATAAAATGAGACTTTATTAATCATGTAATTGCTCCAATCTGTGTATTAGAAGAACAGTGCTATTTAAATGCATTTTAAACTCACCAAATTATCAACATGTGCTTACCTGCTGAGACCAGAAAAGCAAAATTCAGAGGGTGCCTGCTCAGTACTTCTTGCATAAAAGAGGCACTCGTTTTAGGCAAAATATTCATCTTTTTTATCCAGCTAAACAGAATCTCAGATTAAGTTATATTAATTTGAATAAAAGATTATGAAAACTAGGGGTCATTTTTAAAGAAATATTTATAGTTTCTTCCTGGTAGAAATATGAACTTGTTCTTTCAACACATAAGTGATGATAGAGTGAGTGAAGAGCCTGGAAAACAATATATAAATATACTTTTCATGCCAGCATTTTAAACTAAATAATCATTTGATGAAAAAGAACTGAGTTACTGTTGTTAGGGTCAAACCTTGTACAGTAGCCCTTCGCTACTTCGCAGTTTGTTTGTCGCGGACTCACACAATCACCATTTTTTTGTCATGCCCACAGTTTGGACATGACACACAATTGGCTGAGGGATGGATGAGCCGCACAATCGGCAAGAAATTTTTATTTAATTTTTTTATTTTTATTTAGCACCTCGTGTACCTGTGTGCAGCCTACACTGCAGGATAAGCTTCCTCCTGCAGCTGATCAGCTGGTCTCCATGCAAAGTGGAGAAGTGGGTGTGGCCAAGAACGCTTGCAGGTGGCTTAGAGCAGCAGAGGCAGAGAGGGAAATCATGACATTCTGTGCTCTTTTATAGCTTTTAGAGTTTATATTATTAATAATAATAATAATAATAATAATGTGTATGTACTGTCATCATTGTATGTTCCCATACAATGGAGAAATTGTCTCTCTGCATTTAACCCATCGCACCTGGGATACAATTAAAATCATTCCTAAAAAATAAATAATAAAATTTTAATTATTTTAAATTATTTAGCACCTCCTGCACCTGTGTGCAGCCCATGCTGCAGGAGAAGCGCCCTCCTACAGTGTCATATCTCCGCTTTGCAGCAGAGAAGCGGGCGTGGCCGAGAACACTGACAGGTTGAAGAGAGCTGAAATCATGACATTCTGTGCTCTTTTAGAGCGTTTAGAGTTTAGAAATATTGTTTAGAATATTGCAAGAGCATAGGAAGGGTTTAAAATGCCTTATATATATATATATATATATATATATATATATATATATATATATACTAAAATAAACTACTACTTACTACTTGTACTAGTGTTCCTACTTTGCGATTTTTCACTTATCGTGGGGCTTCAGGGTACAGATCCCCCGCGATAAATGAGGGACTACTGTAAATGAAGTTCTGCACAAGTTCGTGCAACATTTTGAGATGCTGGGGTGGCATCTCATTCAAGTTAGCCCATATTAAGTTACCTTAATATCTGTAAAATTGATAAAGGTAAAGTTATTTTGTCTTTGCTAAGGTGGCTTAGCTGTGGCAGCCATGTTTGATTGGATTGACTCCAGAAGTAAATTAGCTGTAGGTGTTAATTAAATGGGAAACTGCGACAAAATGACAATTCAGTGTAATCTGCTGACTTCCTTAGATAGATAACTTTTACTAATTGGCTTTTTTATGTTTGTAAATGTTTTTGTTCAGTGCCCTGAAACAACTTCTGTTGTGACTTGACGCATATACCTTCGATGACAGGAAATAGTAAATGTTAGAAGATATGATAAATTGTGGAACATATTCAGAGAGTACTTTTATTTGTAGCCATTTAGAGCAGGAAAAATTCACATTTACAGATGTCAGTTTGGGTTAAAAGCTAAACTGTACATTTGCTTCAGTGAAAAGCACATTTTTCAAAACAAAATCTGTCAATATATCTGTTTTATTACCATATCTTGAGCAAGCATAAGGATATAACCATCTCTTCTACATTACCTGTAAACATTTTTTTGACTGATGATAAAATATTTTGAATTATGACAGGAAAGGACTGAACAGAGCACCAAATGGATTATGAGAGGATTTCAGAGATGTTGGATGATAAATAGGAGCAAAACTGTAATCATTTTTGCCCTGATTGCTCCTCCACTCATGTTTTAACAAACCTAGCTGCTTCGTCAGAAGGATGTGGGCTGAGCGGTGAATGTGTTTTTATAAGCAGAGACTGACAGTCTTATCTTGTGAGGAAGAAAATATTAAACTCACTGCAGCCTCGTCCTCTCTACTGTCACTGGTGTCTTCACTCCTGTGGTGTCCAGCAGAGGAGCGAGCATCCCTTTTACGACTGGCGTCTGTCCCGTCTGTCTGTCTCTCCCCATCTAAACCAAAAGAGAAACAAAAGCAGACCATGCTCAAATAGCAAGCAACCACCACTATCATCACAATTGTCTTTGCCTTCATCAACCCCACAGTCATCCCCGCTTTAATCATCACCATTAATGGCATCGTTGTCATTCTAATCCCTATTACTTTCATCACCAGTAGCATTATAATTACAAATGCTGTACATCCATTTCTATCATTATAGCCGAGGTCAACTATAATTTTGTAATTTTACTCATTTTTCCGTTGCTGTCGTCAGATAAAAGTTTTCTGGTAGAAGTAGACTTAGAAAGGAGGGAAAAAATGCTGTTGGAAAAGTAAAAGGAGACAAGAGGGAATTATAAAAAACAGCCCAGAGGGGAAAATGTGAGTCAGGGGGGAGTGAGAATAAAATAAAAAGGATGTTATCGACAAATGGTGGGACAGGAAGAATAGGTTTTCTCGCAGCCATAGCTGGAGTGCTGTCATGTCACAGATGGATTATGGTAGTTTCACTGCACAGTGATGACAGTCGTATTGGCCCGGAGTGAACAAGCAAAAACTTTAAGCCACTTGCTACGAGTGTGGCGCATGAAAGTGTGGATGCTAGTGTGAGTCCATCATGAAGCATAAGTAAAAAAGAAATTAAAACAAGCTTTCTGTTTGGGCTGGCAGCAAAACACAGAAATAAAAACACAAACATGTGCACACCGTCATGCATGAGCGAACTGGAGCGCAATTCAATACCGAGCGGTCACAAGACACCCAGCACTTTACAAGATCCTAGTAATATGGAGTTACAATAACCAAATGGATAGTCATAAAGGTTACTGTAAAGATTTCCACTTCATTGTAAAGAAGAAAAAAAAAAGGAAAATCCATATCCAATTCACCCAAACCACTTTTTATTTGTACTGCACGTTATCCGATCCCATTTGGCTGACATGGTTTATGAATGCACAACACTGCCGCAGCATGGAAGGCTTCCATAAAAGATGGCGTCTGTGCTATTGACTCGCTCATAAAAAGTGATTGTGACTGAGTGTATGAGGGGTAGGGGTGACTTTGTGGTCTCCTGCAGCTGAATGCGTTATAGTAAAATTGGTTCATTACAGTCTGCTGGATCATGGTGGCTAGAGTTTACACACATGCATGCATCCATGTGCATGCAGGTATCCACAAACATATGCAGACGTGTCCCCCCCTACACAAACATAGGAACAGTAACATGATTAAAAGACAAAAGAGGGATAACAAAAAGCTGCAAAGCATAATGAGAGCTAACTGCTTTCCAATATGACCCTTTATGAACTAGTCAGAGGGGGGGTGAATTGAAATGTGGCTGAGGGGTGGAAGGGCTGATCTGTGGGAAGAAAGATGAAAACCGATGAATGAGACCAGTTGCTGTCAACACTTCTTCCTCTGTCATATTCAGAAAAAGAGAAAATGAACAAGGGCAAGCCAAACCCAACAAAAAAGTGCAAGAGCCAACTTTTTGTCCCAAAGCAACCTGTTTTGCACCTCGTGAAAGTCTCCAGCAAATTTAATCAGCACTGATATGTTGGACTAATTTTCTTGGATATCATTTTGCCCGTCTCCCATCATTCCCTTTGCAATTAGATGTCCAGACAACTGTAATGAAATGGGCTTTGATCTAAAAATAATCTCCTTTTGTGGAATAAAAGAAACACTGATGAGATTTTTTTTTTAACAGTCACAATGAATTGCTCTTGTAGTGAACCTGGTCTGACCCTTATCTGACCTCAAATCTACCAGATGGACAGAGACTGTTATTTTCATTGATCTGAATAAGTCTGGGCCATCTGATGACTTTCTTTCTTGAATTAATCAAGCAGAAAAGACAATTCTTTATAATCATTACTGTCTTACAAATGTTTTAATAATCAATTGTGGTAGTTTCACTCAATGCTTATAGGTTGAAAAGAACTACTCATCTTTATTTTACATAAACAGTAAGTAATGATGTTTATTCCTCATTCCAAGAAGAAATCACCTGAATATGCATTTCGTGATTTTCTGTCTGAAATGAGCAAGCTGTCGTAAGTATGTGAAAGGTTGGTTTTCGGTCAACTAAAATGTTTACTGAAGAAGAAATGTCATGTTTAACTATTTGAGAAGATATCAGAGTAAATGACTCCACGAAGTCTGCTGCTTCTGCAATAATCTTTTCTGTATGTGAAAACAGATTCATTCTCTGACCTTGGCTTAGATAACATCTTACGTCACAAAACCACTCCTCTTTCTGGTCCTTCCACGAATCAGAAAGCTCTAAATTGAACAGGAAGTCGACCCAAATAAAATGTGGCAACTTCCCAGTTCATGTTAGATTGAGAGTGCAGTCGGTTCTGAAAGTTTCAGAGCAATGAAGAGTCCAAGAGAGCAATGAAGAATACAGAGACGTTTTGGGATTATAATTCTGTTTGAACTAACCACGCATGACTCTCTGAAGGTTTGGTAGTTCTCGACGGAGACGCTGAAACGAGTCAGAAAGGAACTACTCCGACGCTGATTCATCATCAACAGGTAGATGGTTCTATTTTGACCAAGTGTACCGTGAGAAGCTGAGATCTGACGGAGCGTGCAATTTCTGGTTAAACAGATTAAATTTCCCTCACATATTCCTCTGTAAGATAAATCTCCATTTAATCTTAAACTCACCTCTCTCTCATAAATCAGTACGGATATTTTTAGAAATATCTGAAGCAAAGTCCTCAAATCACCGCCGAGTGATTTGAAGTTCATTATTTGTGAAACTGTCTGTTATTATTTTCATATTTTGCCAAATTAATGTAAATGTTTGATGTTAAACTTTGATTCTGAAAATAAATGACTCCATTCATTTGATGGGTCAAAGATAAATAACGTCTCTCGTTACATTTTGTGTTAAATTCAATGCACGGCATTTACAGTCAGAAAAATGAAGAACTCGTGAAAAGTATGCATAAATATATATCCATATATTTGTCATACAACAAGTGACACGTACCCACGTGACTCACTACACTCTCTAAAACCTCTTTTCAAATACTTCTGTTTAAAAAAAAAGACAAAAATGGATGCTGGTGGGAACAGAGGAATATTTAAGCAGCTGCAGCATATTACATTTCAAACAAGTGAAGCAGCTACAGAATGTGTGCTGTGAATGCTATCAGCCTTGAGTTGAACCCAACATAGAAGGTAAATTACCTGACGTCCTTCATTGCGTCACAAAAATCAAACTGTTAAACTTGATCTCATTTGAGCCTTGGCTTGCAGAGTTTTGACCCAGAGCACATCAGCTTCCAAGTTTAATATTCACATTACAACCTTTTTGGACCAAAACTTATAAAAATAGCTGTGGCGGCTGGTCCAGGGGCAGGTGGGGTGAAGCCCCACCTAAAAGAAACATTCGCCCCACAAAGTAGTACCTCCTAATAAATAATGCAAATTACTTATTTACCGAGTTTGCTGTGCACAGTTTTGTGTATTTTTCAACTTTTTGGACAATTTTAAGTGGAATTTTAAATGATTTTTTTTCTGATTCATCATAACTTTTTTACTTATTTATTGTTATGAGGCAGTACCGTTCAACAACCCGTGTTCATCAAGCGAATCTGAACATACAGTCAGTGGCCCGAGGCAGGTCCATTAGAGTTTCAATTGGGGCATCTGATTTTCTGCCCTGTGGACACATTTAGCTGGTTTTAGCGCATTGATATGACCTCTACCTAGACCTGACGTGAGCTCAAACTCAGGAATAAGTGCAGTGAAACCTGCTGAGACCAACAGTGAAGATATACTGTTTTTAATTCCATTTGGAGCAGACAGAGGGGACCAAAACAGAAAACTGAGGAGAACCAAGGAAAGTCAAAGAATAGGAAATTTCTGCCAACACGGTAGGACCTTATTTAAAAAACTATGTGGCTTCTCTTTGCATTTGCGGCTGTGGTGGTTAATGTTTGAAGCAGTGGTCTTGTAACATAGTGTTTGTGGGTTCAGAGTCAGAGATTCTTTATTGTCATTCGCACCTCATGTGGTACATGTGGTGGAGCGAAATTATGTACACAGGGTCCCAGTTACATCCAACAATAAAATGTATAAGAAAAACAGTAATAACATCTAAGATATGAACTAAGAAAAACATCATCTAAATATACACTAAGCACTCATAACATAAAAACATTGAACATCAGCACAAACATGAACATGAGTCTGTGTGAGCGGATGTGCATGCATGAACACATCAACATTTAAACAGACCAGCAGCAACATGAAACAGATCAGCAGCAACATGATGTGGTTTTTCACAGTGATTATTCTAGTTAGAGATTCATGAGTCTAACAGCCTCAGGGTAGAAGCTGTTCCTCAGTCTAGTGGTTCTACACTTAATGCTCCTCAACCTCCTTCCTGAGGGGAATGGGGCAAAAAGTGTGTGTGCTGGGTGAGTGGGGTCCTTCATGATGCAGGTGGCCCTCTTCCTGCATCTGGAGGTGTAGATGTCTGTGATGGTGGGGAGGCTGACTCCAACAGACTTCTGTGCAGCCTTCACCACTCTCTGCAAAGTTTTTCTTTCTGCAGCTGTGCAGCCTCCATGTCACACGTTGATGCTGGAGCACAGGATGCTCTCCACTGCACACCTGTAGAAGGAGGTGAGGACTGAGCTTCCCAGACCAGCTCGCCTCAGCCGTCTGAGGAAGTAGAGTCTCTGATGAGCTTTCTTGATCAGGCTGGTGGTGTTGTTGCTCCAGCTGAGGTTGTCATTCATGTGTACACCCAAGTACTTGTAGCTGGAGACCACTTACACCGCAGATCCTCTTATGTTCAGGGGGGTGTAGATGTTTTTGTTCCTTCTGAAGTCCACAATCATCTCCTTTGTCTTCTTCACATTGATGTGAAGGTTATTCTCTTTGCACCAGCTCTCCAGGTGTTCCACCATTCATCATTGTTTGTGATGCATCCCACCGCTGTATCATCTGCAAACTTTACAATGTGACAGCCTGGATGGGTAGCTGCACA